AATGTAATAGGGTAAAACCCAGTGTATTTAACATAATGCTGCACTCTAGAAAATGGGTTGAAATACAACACGTTGGTGGAGCTGGGCTCCGAATGTCGGCTTGTGGAGCTCTCGGGAGACAGATGTTTTCCACCCGTTCTCCCCTCCCCGCAGCTCGGCGCATCTCTGTCTGATCGCGGCTTCTGTTTGATGCGCGGGCTGCCGGCTTTTGGAGCGCTGGATGGAAACCTTTCCACCCGGTTCTCCCCAGCAGCAGCTCTGCGCATCTCAGATCGCAGCGGCGCTTGTCTGCTGTGCGGCTGCCGGCTTGTGGAGCTCTCAGAGACCTCTGTGTTCCACCCGGTTTTACCCAGCGGTCAGCCCGGCGTATCTCTGACTCAGAAGCTCTGGTGTTGTGCACAGTAAACTCTGGTTGTAGCTAGGTTGCTACCTCCGTTAGCTTAGCTCCCACCTCCGCGTTAGCTTTGGGTTAGCTTGTAGCTAGTTCGACCGGGTGTCGTCAGTTGATCCCAGCCTTACAGCCCCACCCTCAGCTCCACCTCTCTTCCCTTTTGTGGAATTGTCTGGGCTTGACGGAACCTGTGACACGGCCAAAATGGCGGTGGTGGCCACCTCCCATTTTTCTTCCAAAACGTGTTATTGGAGCCTATGGAAACCCATTGTCCAATATTTATATGTCGATGGGGGAGACGTGAGAATTTCCAAACTCAGACGTGTTTTTGATAAGAGTTTTATACATGAACTATTCACGGTTTCTGATTGCATATCTCGATCGTTCACCGCCCATTTACAAACTCAAAGATTTTGACGGGGAACAGATAGAAGGCTCATTTTTTGAAAGCCGAGTTGCAGAAAGTAAGTATATCGGCTGAGAGATCCTTCTGTGTTGAAAAGATTTTAAAGCACAGGACATTCTGAGGGGAGCGACAAGTTTTTGTTAAATGGCTCAGTTGGCCATCGAAATTCAACAGTTGGGTCGAAACTTTAGACCTCCATGACGTTTAAAAAGAGAGAAGAACCAGAAGGGTTTGGGCTGGACCTGTTCTGACCAAGCTGCAGCCAGCCGCGGACCAGATCACGAAACAACAAATCGACAAGGACGTTGGCAGAAATGTGGGCTTGCCTTAGCAGCCCATTTGAGCAGAATTTTAATTTTTTTTCATATAGATTAAACAATTTTTTTCATGGTTTTGAATTTAGTGGTACAGATGCTTTTCCCTTTATTTATATAAGTCATCAGACTTAGGAAAAAAAGGGAATTACAGAAAATATATGATGCAAAATTAAGTTGTTGCAAAAATTTTGTTGAGCACTCTAAAGCATTTTAACCCATAGACGCATGAATTATGAAATCTTCAACCATGATTTTTTAACAGTTTTTTTTTTCATTTTTCTTTAGGTGTGAATGAAACAAATTTCAATAAATATTTTTTGTAAAATTTTATAATTTACAAATAATTTATTACATGTCCACCTCAGTGGACAGCGTGCAATCTGAACATGAAATGTGTTGGCTTGGCTTACCGAAGTCCAAATGGAGGGGCTCAAATGCAATAAAGTCTTCAACAGCTGTGCTTAATAGCAAAAATAAATAAATAACAATTTTGAGTACCTGTCCACTGTAGTGACTATTATGCACCAAAGGGTAAAATAGCTAAATACTGAGCCCATATTATAAATATAAAAGACTTAACCTTCCATTCATTATGCTGGGCATCCTGATAATTAGTTTTGATCTGAGCAGTCTTATATGACTTGTGATTTACAATTTCCAGCAAAATCCTACTTTTCTGCTTTCATGTTAAAAGCTCCAAGAAATGAAAAGACTGCGGCAACTCTACAAAGCTGCTTGCAGAGTTATTGTTTTGCATTGCATCAGATTATTAGGTTTGTCTCATCAGACAGACCCTTTTCAGTTTTTTACACGTTATGCTGAAGCTTTCAGTCTGAATGGATTCCCTGTGCTTTCTTCTTTTTTATGTTTTTTACAGAAATAATAAAGTGAAACCAGATTTTTGATTCTTTTTCTCAGAATCCAAAAATCTGACTTTCACAGCCTGCGCTCTGTTGCATGTATTTTAATTACCTCAATAATAAAAGTCAGGAATTGATTTGGGCAAAACAAACAACAACTTTAAGAAGTTTTACAAACTTGGCCGCCCAGAGAAGTAAGAAAAAAGGTTAGGAAAAAGACCAAGATACCCATTAGCGACTGTGACAGTTTTAGAAGTTCTACTTAGACATAAAAGAGAACACGGGAATGGTAAAACATTTTACGAGCACTTAATAAATCAGTCTTTTATGGGCTTGAGGAAATAACAAAAATACTTGGTTGTTTTCACCAATTTTGAACAAAAACACTTGCATCGTGGCATCCCATTGTTTAAGCACTAACTCTGGAATATTCATCAACTATTGATTTTCTGATTTAAGGGATCTTCTGCACAATAAGGAGTTTAGAGATGCAAGGAAGTGCAGACAAGAGTGAAGTAGAAACAGGCCGTGTAGTGATTTAAAAGTAATCAATACAATGTTTAATCAAATTCGGTAAAGAAGGGGCAGCCAGTGTAATTCAGCCAGGACCCGTTGTGATCTATTCCCTGAGGGAAGTTAATGCAAGTGCTGACAATGCATTTTGCAGCACCTGTAAATGAGTAGCTGCTGCATTGTTTAGGTTAATATGCACTAAGCTGCAGCACTCTGTGCAAGGGCATTAGGGTGTGGAGAGGCCGTATGCAGTGCAGTTGGATGAGTTACTCATATCTTAAAAATATGTTAATATATCAAGTCAGAAATGAGATATGGATCAAAAACAAGTTTAGCAGTGTTGGTGCTGATTATTGGAGGGGGTGACAATTTCAGCAGCATAATATGTCTTATCGATGTTGTGTTATAGGAAATTAAAAGCTGTCCAGGCGTCTCAGCAGTAATACAAACTGTGTTTTAGATTAGTTTGCATCGTGGTATTAGGCTGTGTGCACAGCTCACAAAGCTGTACTGTAAGACATACGCACAGCTGAAGTGAATCAGAACCAGACATCTTAGCCTTTATAAGGCAGAGCCTTTCAGTCATTTGTGGGTGCAAATCCGCGCTGCTGTCCCCTCGACTAGTTCTTTGTGGTGTCTGAAAAGAACTTGTGTACTCCTGTGTGATTTTGTGACAAACTTAATTTTACTTCCTTTAGCGAGTCCTTCAGAACTAGCACACTTGGATAATTTACAGTAGTGAAGACTTATTACAGTAGTTTGTCTCCAGCATTTCAGGTAGTTTGGTTCTTTGCCATCCTGCTGTTAGCTTGCTCATCTAAAACCAGATTTAACTGTATTTATCTACTCATCAACTTACTGTGTAATACTCATCTTCACTTGTCATCTATAATCTTCTGCTGCTGATCCGCAATAACCATAAAACTCATGGGACAGGAGGAGGAAAGTGACTTTTTGATTAAAAACGTGGACTGTGGTACCCACATGTGACCACATGATGTCATCCTTACAAACTGCACCTTTAAATATACAAATGAAAGTGATTTTACAACAAAAATACCAGCCTGTCATTTTTAAAGAAGTTTGAAAAATGTTTGCAAACAGAATATGCTTGTATTTATAAAATCTGCGCATTTTCAAACAGCTGATAGATACAAAAAATTATGACCTGCAAATTCACTAGATGACCAATATTGTCAATCTCGCCAAAAAGAGAAGATGAAGTCAGTTTTAGCTTTCAGTGGGAAGCCTAATAGCCCTCCTAAAAAAACTGAAAGGAAAAGTAATATTTGAAAGCAATAAGCCCCTAAACCCACCCCAATAGTCAATAAATAAATAAGCATGCCCTCTGTGAGTGTTTTTCAGACTTTCATCTACCCTCTCCAGAACCACCCCTCCCTTCTCTGATGGTAGTAATACATCCTGTTGCTTCAGTGAGAACTCCGTTTGAATGAGTGACCCTAGCGGTCGAGGAACTGCCAGCGCCTCCAGCAGCAGAGCACCTGATGAGGAGGTAGCTCCTGATACCGCCGCAGCCTTTTGCTGTAGGAATTGAATAAATCATGGTAAATGGTAAAATGGTAAATGGTAAATGGCCTGTATTTGATATAGCGCCTTCTAGAATCCTGGAACCCCCCAAGGCACTTTACAACACAACCAGTCATTCACCCATTCACACACACATTCACACACTGGTGGGGATGAGCTACAATGTAGCCACAGCTGCCCTGGGGCGCACTGACAGAGGCGAGGCTGCCGAGCACTGGCGCCACCGGTCCCTCCGACCACCACCAGCAGGCAACGTGGGTTAAGTGTCTTGCCCAAGGACACAACGACAGCGACAGACTGAGCGGGGCTCGAACCTGCAACCTTCCGATTACGGGGCGAACACTTAACTCCTGTGCCACTGCCGCCCCAGCCACATCATCAGCCACACCAAGGTGTAGGAGGGTAGGGCGGGGGTGCAAGCAACATTAACAGGTGCAAACTCTCTGCTGTTCAGTTTAACAATATGTATGAACACTGCAGCTAAAACTCTCAAATAAATTCAACTTTTAACATTATATATATATATATATATATTTTTTTTTTTTTTTACTGGTGAGCTTCAACAACATTTAATATTTGCACATTTATCTATTGGATTTTAAATTTATGTCCCTATAAGAGAATATAAAGTCGTGGTTTGTGTGAATATAATGTGATTTATTAAAGAGAGGGCAGAGAGGTGGGCCTTCCTTTGGGGGGCTAGCAATTTTCCAGTGGTTGCCATGGCCCCACCTCACCACCCCCTGGGGACGCCACTGTTACTTCCACCTACTACTTGTCAGCCTTTGGATTTTGTTCTCTGTTCGTCCAGAAATATGTCTTTGAACACCAAAGCAACCACATATGTTTGGATTTTAAAGTTAAATGCTTTGCTAACGGTGGTTGGTGAAAACCTTATTTCCCAGCATTCAGATCACTGGAATAGTTTTGAAATTAGTTTAAGAGAACATGAAGCTTGAGTTTACCAGATGGACTCGGTACAAGATGCTGATCCCCAAAGTCATGAAGGGTTTGGAGAAATCGATCACCTTCTCTCTCTCAGAAGTGATAGTAAAGCCAGCAACTGCCAGGTCTGCTTTCTGCAGTGAGAAAAACAGATACAGACACAAAGAAGAGAGCAAATAGGATTATTTCCCAGTAACAGTAACTACCACAGACCCACAAAGCTCAGATTAAGTTGAAAAGAAAGCCAATGTATAAATAGAGTAAATAGTAACAGAATCAGCAGAAATTTTTTGGGACTGGTGGAGTTAATATAAAGAGTGCTGGAACAGAAATAAACAAACAAACAAAGATAAGAAGGGAAACTGGAATGGTGGAGGAGGTCAGAAAAGAACACAAAAGCCACAGATGACAAAACAGGAAAGTCAAATGGGTAACGTGTATTATAAAAACAATCAGCTGACATTTTAGTAAAAAACAGAAATAGAAATTAAGGAAAAGGGAAGAGTTTATGATGAGGCCACGAGCTAATAAAAGATTAGGCTCTGCAAATATTCTAGATGTTTGAGCAAACAAGAACAGCAAAGCAAATTTGAAGTAATTCAACAATAATTTAGAGGCGGCTTTCATAACTTCCTAATGCCTGCTAATACAATCGGTAATGAGCAGAGGAATCCACATCGTGTAGAAGTTTTTATTTTTTCATGACCAGAAAACACTTTGGGAGGAACATAATGCTGTCAAGAATAATGTTTTTCCTGTAAACGTATTCTCTCTGATGCCAACATTTCCTCCCACCTCAGAGCTGATGCGTTGAAACCGTGTTTCATCACAGCATCATCAAAGAATAATCTCGAACGGTGATTTCGGTTCACCCCCTGCAGCCAGCACTCATATCACAGGAGGAGGAGGAACATTTGGCTTTAAACACTAATGATAATTAAAGACTAGGCAATGACAGGTTATGTTAATAATTTGCAGTTTATCGTGCCATTTATTGATAAAACAGAATATTCCATCTATATAATGACATCAGGTTTTACTATCATAACACAAAGTACTTATAGCTCACTGGATAACCATCCTTTGACTCTTAATGGTAGTTCTTAAACATCTCACCACCTCGGAGCATCATACACTCTTAGGAAAATGCCACTATAACAAAAATGATAAAAAGGCAGTTTTCAAACAATGATGTAATTTACAGAAGGATAAAGTTATCTAAACTAACCTGTATCTATGTAAAAACAGAACGTGTCCCTAAATTTACAATCTGGCCGAAACATCCTTGGCAACAGCAAATGAAATCAAGTGTTCAGGAAGTATTTTGGCCTGCTGTACAGCGGCATTCAAAAAGTGTTGCTTCATTGGAAAGTCCTTCTGCATGAATGTTCTGGTCACATATTCTCCTTCAAGATCTTCTGTTAGGGGAGCAGAATTCCTGGTTCCATCCATTATAGCAATTATCCCAGGCCCTGGAGCAGCAAAGCAGCCCCAGAACCTCACAATATAGTTTTTGTTTCAATATCAACTTAAAAATCCTAAAATTTAAATTCAAATTCACACCTCCATCAAAATATTTACATTTACAAGCAGAAGTAAATAAATCAGAAATGTCACTGCAATGGTAGGCAGACCTGTTGAAAAAGATATGTGCCCCCTGCTGTCCTGGTGGAGAATTGCTTTGTAACATTGACACACCAACACCAACAATGAATTGAAAAGAAATATAAAATAAAAATGTTTCCCTCAATTTATGTGCATGTAAGTGCACACTTACAGACGGAGAAGTATAAACTAGTCTTAATACCAGCATGTGTGATGCTTTCTTCTGGTAGTTTTACGTCAGATGTGGCAGAAGACCCACCTTCTAAATCTCTTTCATCTAATTAAATCATGAACTCTAATTTTAATCTTCACTTAATAAGGTCTGATCCTTTTAGAGATTTGTTCTTTGGGTTTGTTTCGATACAACGCTCCATGATGTTTCTCTAGCGATGTCCTCACTCTAAAGGTCTGACATTTATCAAGCATGGCTGTAAAATATATTTTCTCTTTAAATACAATGTCTCATAGTTTTGTAGGGACCGCGGTACGATATGTTGTGATACGAAATGCCATTTACAATTTTAAACACTTTAATTTTTAATTGATTAATTTGATTTTAATTGGAAAACTCTGAAAAGACCTGTCCAAGACTCGTCCAGTATTATCGCAAAATCTTGTTCTGTCAGACTGAAGATGGTAACAACTGCTGCCACCTAGCAGTTGGAGTCTGAATTGCAACACACAAAAGAGAAACAATAAATGTTAACAAGAACTTTTCCAAAAAAATCGATACACTGCTTTAAAATATTGAATCAGCCTGTAGTTTTTTCATAATTTCCATGGTTGTTTCTGTGGCGTTGAGCATGACTTTGTTGTGTCCACATTTAAGTTCCAAAATCTGATGCAATGAGACCAATGATTAAAGGCAGAAACTTAGTTTCATCCACTTTTGCTGAGGTTCTAGAGCAGTTAATGAAATATTGATTTTTATTGTAGAGGAGTCAATGTTGAGTGTGTAGCTGCCACAGAATGGATTACGAGTTTAACAGTGAATTGTTACTGTGGAGGGCTCATAGGATGGTGTGGTACTTACAGCTTTAATTCAAGCTTTTGCTCTTGTTTAGCTGTAATCAGGATCTGACGGGATTTCAGGATGAGGCCCATTTAAATGCAAACCACATTGCTATTGATGTATATCAATATTTATTCAGATAACACGGACCATTTTTGATCAACTTAATGAAAATAAATCACTTTAAATGGTTGTGCTGTCTGACCCAAATGCTTTTATCTCATTATGTTTACTACAGATAAAGTAATAGAAATATTTTAAGTAAATAGTGAAAAAAAGTTACTTTTTTTGTTTTTGCCACTGTCATGTACTGTTAATATAAAGGACAATACATAAAGTATACTGGTGGATAGTTCAATTATTTTGTTGACAGTGTGATAGCTTTGGTGTGTGCAATACCCAACAAAAACAAGGTGTTGGGTATTTTTATAATTGTACCTTTTTGAGGCCTAAAAGATGCCCATTTTGTGTTATTAACACTTCATGAATCTCTGTGTTCGCCAACTGTGGCTGTTCATGAAAGGTTGAGCAAGGATGTTGATTGTGAAAACTCTGTACCTCTGTAACCTGAGAAGGCCCCGCCTTCTCCTCCATCCTTTGAACAAAGCCCCTGACGAACTGAGAACACGGGGGAGTGACGTGGGAAAAGTCTCGGAGGAGGTTTTTCCCTGCGTTAACTCTCCTTTATTTTGGGGACTCAGGGTAAAATGTCTCCCTTGTTGTCATGTGTGTTAATTTCAGGTTTCAGGGTTATGGAGATTAAATATTACCCCACATTTAAGTACCTAACATTTTGGTGGAGAATGCGGGCATGCAGAGCTGGTGAGCTGAAGGCTTTCCCCAGGAACAGAGGGGGCCTGGTTTGCTCCATGGATGGGTTTCTGCGCCCAGCTCTCGCATGACAATTCATGGACATTACGAATAATCCACTCTCTCTCTCTGTGTCGTCCTTTAAGGTAATATGGGATAAATGAAAAATTACCTATCACAAGGTCTTAACTCAAATGAGACTTCTTGGTTTAATTTTAAGCTAAATACATTTTAGACCATTTTATAACAGTCCACACTATCGGGACTCTGTCCAAAACATCTTGACAATCTGAAGAGAGGACCACGGGCTTGGTTTCTGATCTAGTTTGCTTTGAAGCACACACTCGCTGTTTTTTACTTGTTATTTTTGAAATGTGATATGATGGTATTATGATATGATGAAAATGGTCTAACACTATTTCCTGTATACACTGATAGAAAATTGATGGGAAAATGTTCAGGTCAGAAAAAAAAACACACAGATCTATGTGCTGGTGAAGGTTTTCAGTCATTCAGGTCATGGCAATCCAAAGGGGGTTCGAATGAAGGCAACAGGACTTCTTTGATTTCATGAAGATGTTTTGCATCTCATCCCAGGATCTTTGTCAATTCTGAATCTAGGAGGGTCAAGCTAATAAACTGTAGTCTATTGTTGTCGAAACGCGCGGATTCTTCTTGATGTAAGAGGTGAGTCTCCGCTTTGTTTTGGTTGTTTTGGCGTCTACATCATCCTAGCACACAACGTTCTGTGACTCTTAAAAAACCAGTAAAAACGGTGAGAAACGCTGGCAGCGAACGAGTTAATGCTAATTGTAAAGCACATTGAATTGCCCCTGTGTTTGAAATGAGCTATATAAATAAAGCTGCCTTGCATTGCCTTAACAGAATGCCAGCTTTTACTTTTTTTAATGACAGAACTTTTACATTCTTATATTTTTACATCAGACTCTCACGCTACTTCTCTGAGACAGATCCCAGGAACAGTCCACGAGATATTTGTACTTGGCTGGCACAACTGGCCTAATTTAAATTGACGTAGCTATCATATTTAGCACATATGATGTTTAAATTAAAAAATGTATGACAGGAGAGGTGTGATTCAGTTTTCTTTTAAATGATGAGGTGGGACCCCACATGTACAGCATCTGTGTGAGTAACTAACGAGGACTCAGATAACCTGATAACAAACATCCCTAGAGAAAATATAGCAGCTGTCACTTAGAATTACATTAAAACGTTATGTACAACATTTTTGCATAAAATTACCATCAGATTGAAACGTTTGTGCACAAATTCAGATTTCTGCCTGTCTAGTGAAGATTTGTGCAGATTGTGTAAACTCGCTCTAATTTTCAGCAGAACAATAACCGCAAATCTTCATCAAGGAAAGTTAAAACATTTTTAAAACGTTTAAAAACTTCTTCATAATTTTTCTTTGTCACCATCGGTCATGTCCCAATGACAGGCGTGCTTTAACAATCCAAAACTCAGCAACAAAAGGTTAAACTTCAAGTGCAGGTTTTTGAATAGATACATCTATATTTTATATGTATATAATTTTCAAAAGAAGGCTTTAAAACACTTTCAAAATGAGTTCTAATTTGCATGAAATATTTAGCAAATGAAATGAGACTGCAGATTCTGGTTTGATGATTCTCAGCAGGATTTTTCTGCTTTAACCTGTTATCATTGGCTATGTTAAATCAA